TGACGGCATAACTGTGTATATAAAAACAAAATCAAACATGGAAAGTCTCAAAACTCTTTTGTATGAGGAACTACTTTCTTCTGTGTTGGATTCAAATCATAAGCTGACAGTTAAACGGATCTGTAGTGTCTGCTTGTTGCTGGCTGTATGTGGGCGGAGTAATACACAAAGGGTAAAGAGGCTGTACGGGTGCTGATATTACTTAAATATATCACGGCTATTAGCCAATCAGATTCGAGAACCAGACAGTACTGTTGTGTGTGTGTGTATATATATATATTATAATATATAATAATAATACTCCACTCACATACAGCAACAAGCAGAGAGACACTGTACAGTTAGACAAATATTGCTGCTGTTAGATAACATAAATGTACTTTTGAGGCTTATTTAGTCGAGAATGTAGCTGTTTAGATTGCAACTGTGCAGTTTATTTATAAGGATAGTGCTTATTTTAAACATTTATAATTTCCGAGAGGCCATTAAACCGCCATACTGAGCTGACCAAAGACGTTTGACGTTATCTATCCACAAGATAGCGACAGGACCGCATAATAAGCCCTTACAAGAATAACTACAGCTGATCAAATCATTATTATACTGTTAAGTGATATTCTACGTCGATCTCTCTTTTGCATGTTGTAGTGCTGTATTTATACCATATAACTGTAGTGTATTGAGTGTGAGATGGGACTGGCATATCAGAAATGTGTGTCGTGTTGGCAGAAAGAAAGAAGCAATGTCCGCACGTGTTTAGCGTTTTTCCTTGTCTGGTAGTGATTGCGCTGCTTTTTTCAGGGTTTATTATTGTGATATTCCGATTGCAACAGAGAAATACGGTAGACTGTAACACTGTAAGGAGATATCTCTGTAGACTGATGGCATTTCATGTCACGTTCAGCCTCATAATCTGAAATTGTGAGCAAAATCAGCTGTTTTTCATCACTTTAGACATTACGCTATAGCGAGTCATTCAAACACTAGCTCTAATATGATGTTGGTAAATTAGTCTGCTGTTCTGACGTCAGCTGCAGATGTGAATGAATGGTGGAAGAAAGTAGTTCCTGATACAAAAGGGGTTTTAGACTCTTCGGGCCCTATCATACACTCGGCACAGTGTAATGCAAGGCGCGGCTCAGTAGTCTTTTGGTAGTTTCAGCTTGGTGCAAAAGTTGTTTTGAGGCGTTGCGCTACGCTGTTTAAATAGCAAATGCATTAGCACTCATTTGTGCGCCCATAGGCGTTCTGGTCTAAAAAGGAAGGTGTTCTGAGGCGGACCGCTGGCGCGTCGCTATTTTGAGAAACTATAATAGATTTTTCATTAGACCAAAACAAACCCGGTCTAAACTCCAGCGCAGAGTTGCACCTCGCTTACACACTGCTTAATACACACAAGAGAACAATAGGCAAATATCTTTACATATGAAAAAATGTAAATATTAAGGATATATATATAGGATATAATAAGAATAGATATAGGATATAAATATAAAGGATTTAAATATTACAAAACATATTATTTTCTAGCCTACATAAATATGAAAAATCACTGCTTTTATGTCTTCTTCATCTCGGGAGGCTTTTTCAGTTCATTCACAACAATTTGCTTTTGTATAATGTTATTATTATTAGCAGTATTATTTATTATATCCATATTTATATTTGTTTTATTAAAAACAAGCTTAGATTTGCCCACCTGCAGGTTTTAGACCATATGGGGCACAGCATGTGTTTTAGGATATAACTCAGGTTTTTGAGCACATTTTGTTATTATTGTTCATTTATTCGTTTGCTGGAAATTAGAACTGAATTTAGAAATAGTTTTGAAACAAATATTTGCGCTTAACAAACAAAAGTAATTATTTATAGACTAATTGATGTCTGTGCTAAAGGTTTCCCTATCCAAGAGTGAAAGTGAAAGTAGATCCATTATCTCTCATTCTCACGCAGCAGATGCTCTGTTTAACAGTTTTCTGTTAAAAAACTGTTAACTGTTTGCTTGTGAAATGCTCATTTTTTCCACTTAGACTTATTTTGCGTCCTGTAAATAGTGAATGCGCTCTTGGCGTGACGCAGCTGGCTCTTAAAGGGAATGGGAGATGAGACTCTAATTGGTTTATTTTCAAAACACACCTATAACTCATTAAGAAAATAAACTCAACCCTTTTAGACCATGCGCCACGGCGCAAAGCAGATTTCCCGTCCTTAAATTAGCAAAAACACGTCCTGACACGCCCTGAAAGTGTTTGCGCCCTCCGTTTTGCGCTCTGCGCATGGACCGTCAAAATAGAGCCCTTCGAATTTGATTTTCTTTTTTATATACACGATTGTGCTGTTGAACTGTTGTATAAACGCAATATCACACTCATAGCAGTGCGATATGGCTGCATATCAGCACTGGTGAGACACTAAGGCACTCCTGCGGCCTCCTGCCAACGCATATCAGAAAAATAGAAATGGTGGAAAGATATACAGGGGGGCTAAAAATTCTGACTTCAACTGTATGTGTGCATATGACATACACAATAAATAAATGTAACACACATATCTAATGTCAAAACAAACTTTTATTTTAAATGTGAATCTTAATCTTTGACAGCACTATGTATAATTTAAAGTCATATTTTTAAGACAAAATGTCCCTAAATAGATATACACACATTATTTTTTTTTAGGTACGTTGATAATAATTTGTAATATTACAGAAAACGGATTCATTCAAGTTTTTGTGTCTTAAAAATAATAAAAAGTTTATTATAAAGGAGAAGCAAAATGTACTAGCAACTCTAAAATTCCCCCTTATATTTCCTTCTTCATCATTTACCTTGATGAAATAGTTGGTCCCGGCCACGACCTGTGTGGTGAACAGAATGGCAGTGAAAGCAGTGAACTTCTTTCCAGCCTTTTCTTCTGCTTGATGCTTGACCTGAATCAAAACACACAGAGTTCACATTGAATGCAACTGTATATAGTGTCATAAATAGTGTCACACTGCAAACTAGGGCGTAAAATACACTTTATTTCCATTTAAAAATATTGTTTGTTCGTCTGTTAATTGTAAAAGCCTGTTTCACAAACGGTTCAAGATCTGTCAACTTTGAGGAATTACTCAGACACACCCAAACACTCACTCACTTTGCACAGTTATTTACAAGCATTTACTGTGTAGGGTGGGAATTTGAAGATTTATATGCGTCTAAATTATGACAAAGCAATATTTTTATATTGTATGTGTTACTTTATTGCTGTCATTTTGTTAACAGCTGCTTCTCTTATGGTTTATATACTGTTTATGGTCTATTTAATATATATTATTTATTGCTTTTTATATACTTCAATAAAGCATGTCAAACTTATTGTTATTATTATTGTACACAATTTTGTTTAACTTTACTTGCACAGTATATCCAGCCTGATATATCCAGCCTGAAAAATGTATTGGAGAAACAAATTGGCTAATTTCTAAGATTTTATTTGTATGAAAATGTACTGTATAATTTTTTTTATTAGTTTAATCTGAACATCAATGCACAACATCATCATACCAAAAGAAAATGTATGATCTTTAAAAGGAGGCATGTCCCCAAACCACCCTTAAATCTAACCTTACAGGAGGATAAACAAATCATGCTAAAATAAATGAACGAGATCATAAAAATGCATCCAGCTTATAGCCACTGAATCAATGACACATTGCCATTGCCATTATATTGTGTTGTTATACAGTGCATATCATACAAAACACATATACATCTATAATACCACAATGTAGGTTAAATTAACCCCTTAACTGCTTGCTTTTTCGTCACTTTATTGCATTTAAATCCTAATCTAATCATGAAATTATTCTAATTACATATTTTACCACTGTTTTTAGCTCTTTTTTTGTTATTTCAGAAGAGTAATAGATGAAAAATCAATTTACTGTCACCTTTCAACCTGTGGGATCATTTAAGGTTACATATTTAAATCATAATAGAGTCTAAACATTAAGCAATCATGACAAACTATACATCATTTGAAAGATTTTTTTCTAGCTTTCATATTTGGGGACTGATTTTTGATAGATAATATAGTCCTAAAGCATTACTTTGCTACAGCAATCAAGATGTAAAACATTTTAAGATGTTTTTTTAGAGGTAAACACCACCAAACTCTTAATCCTAGGTTTGTATGTTATGTCTACTATATAAATATTGTCAAAAGTATGAAAAATATGGTTCCTCAAAACATAGAGGGCGCACTTGTATGGTCACCAATGTAAACTGAATGTTATATAGTGGTCAAATTTGGTACTGCGGCCAAACAAAATTTTACTGAAAGGTCGTTTGTTTGAGGTATCAACTTCAAATTGGGAATATAATTTGTTTAGATATTTAGCATTGTTTTTCTTTCAAATTTGGGCTAAATCTGGTTTTGTAAAACTCATATTTTATGTAATATAATAAAATATAAATGTTTTATTATTTTCATAAACTTAAAGGCATATCATATTTTTTATTAACACTTTTTTTAAATGTCATTTTCATGTACATGTTTTAGACGTTTAGGGTTGGGGGGCTTAATAAAATAAATTATGTTAGGGGCTAATAAAATATGTAGATTAGATGCAAATTTTTTTTAATGATTCTTTGTAACTTTAATTATGTAATTTCGCTCTCACTCTCTTCTATAATTTCACATTACAAAAAGGTTTTGTAAATATAGAATTTTGTAAATATATAATTTGTAAAATATTTGTACAATATACATTTTTTTTATTTTTTTTATTTACATAAATAAATTTTATTTTTTATTTACATAGTTTTATTTTACTTTTTGAAGTCTGGGTACAATCCGAAAAGTGTCTTCCTTAAAATAAGATGAAGCTAAAATCTGTGGACCAAAGTGTTGAAGACTGGCAACCATTTAAGTTGAACATGCTATTTTTATGCCTATGTTTAAAAAGTGGGGGAAACAGTTAAGGGGTTAATAAAATATGTAAATTAGATGCAAATGTTCTTTTTTTAAATGCTTCTTTGTAATTTGAATTATGTGATTTCTCCTTCACTCTATCCTATTATTTCACATTACAAAACATATATCATGTTTTTTAGCCAATATTTTTCTAATATTTCAAAACAAATTCATGAATTTGTGACACAATAATGGATCAGAAAAATATGCTTATAGTTTTCATAAAATATAATTCATTGTTTTTTCTTTCCCCTTTGATGTAGACCGCAAAATCCTGTTTCACAGACATTTCCTGATTTGTCAACTGTGATGAATTACCAGGACACACCCAAACACTTACTCACTTGAAGCTATTTACTAGCATTCATTGTGCAGGTTGGGACATATATAAGCAATATACACAATAACATTACTTGGTTACTTGGTAAGAATGTCAGCTCCTTGAATACTATATTATCTAGAGCGTTGTGCAATATAATGCATTTGTTACACTATGTAATTTAAATAAAAAAAAGTCATATAAATTGCATGCAAAGATTCATGTTTCTTTGTAACTTGAACTATGCATGCAATTTCTGTCTTTCGATTTTAAGATCGCACTATTTGAGTCTTTCTATTTATTTATCCTCTTAAGGCCAAAGGTGTTTTTGTACATGCATCTTTTATTTGGATTTATTGAGACCTAAATAGAATAAAAATCTTAAGTATCATCTTTAGATATGATTTACTTTTAGAGGAGAATTATGTTTTTATATGTGGACTTACACATAAACACCTTTTGTTTAATTTTAATGCATATTTAACATGCAATTTTTTTTGCTTGCTTTGACTATCAGAGATTAAAAACATTTTTTCCCCCTAATTTCGGACAGTTAAAATAGTGTTTTGGACATTTCATATAATGCAAAACAGTCGCAGGATGACACTGTATGTCTGTAACAAAATATAAAACATTCGAAGTATTTTAAATAGCCACTTAAGAGCTAAAATGTGCTGTCCGAATATGTGGACACTAAGCCCTCGGAGGATATACTTTTAAACCTGCTTTACCACATTTTTACTCTGTTTTGTTGTTTACATATCTTATACTTGTGTGATTATCGTATGACGCTTAATCTTCTTGTTGGGATCACTGGTGCAAACTATTTTAGATAGACTTACTGACTTAAAATCATTTAAAAGCACTTTGCTCCTACAGCAATTGCTTTTATTTATCGTTTTTATTACCATATAGCATAGTAACTTCTTATAAATTAAAATATATGCAGTTTATTAATACAATCACCCATATTTGCCTATCAGTTGATGCCTTAAAACAATTGTAATACTATTTATTGCTTGGGATCACTGATGAAAGCTATTTTAGATAGACTTACTGACCTAAAACCATTTAAAAAGCACTTTGTCCTACTGTATTTACTTTTATTCATCGTTTTTATAACCATATAGCATAGTAACTTCTAAATATATAAAAAATATATAAGGTTTATTTATACAATCACCCGAATTTTCCTCTTATGAATACACAATTTTAATACTATTTATTGCTTGGGATCACTATTTTAGATAGATTTACTGACTCAAACCCATTTAAAGAGCACTTTGTCCTACAGCAATTATTTTTATTCATCGTTTTTATTACCATAAAGCATAGTAACTTCTAAATATATAAAATTATTTACAGTTTATTAATACAAACACACAAATTTGCCTATTAGCTGAAGCCTTATATAATTTTAATACTATTTATTGCTTGGGATCACTGATGAAAGCTATTTTAGATAGACTTACTTACTTAAAACCATTTAAAAAGCACTTTGCTCCTACAGCAATTACTGTTATACAATGTTTTATTAACATATAGCACAAGAACTTCTAAATGTATAAAATAAAAGGTTTATTAAAGCAATCACCCGAATTTTGCCCTTTTATAATTACATTATTTTAATACTATTTATTGCTTGGGATCACTGGTGCAAACTATTTTAGATAGACTTAAAACTGTTTTAAAAACACTTTGCTCCCAGGCAATTACCTTTATTCATCGTGTTCACTAACATATACCACTGTAATTTCTTGATACATAAGAAAATACAGTTTATCAAAGTAATCACGTGACGCAGATCATCTGTTTCTCACCTCATCGCAGATCTTCTGCACCTCAGGAGTGGCCTGTTTTTCCTCCGATTGACCTCCAACTTTTTTAGTTGCCATTGCAGCGATTTTTAGTTATTCAGTGGAGAGATTGAATGAAGTCTGCTCTTCTTAGATGCTGTAATTCACAGACCTGACAGTGCTACTACAGTATTTATGTTGACTCGATCATATGACGATGAGCCATCAATGGAACGTACCATCTCTGCAGAACAGGCGGGGGATTTGAACTATTTCACTTTATTTTAAAGCGTTGGGGTTAAATAGTAATTTTAATGTTAAAAACTAAATCTTAACATACATACAGATATTATAGGTAGTTATTAAAGTTTGATGCGTTTATGTTGTACACCAACATTCAATAAATATACCTCTTTCGTGTTTAGTATCATCTGAGGCAGGATCTTCACAAGAGTAGAAATACAATAGTGGGCGGGGCTTGTTTGATAGTTAAAAATAATGTTTTAATTTATTTAAATGACACTTTTTCCCTAAGCAATTCAACTGCTTTTAGTCAGTTTAACAATAAACTGAGTCATAATACTGCAGTCGTCGAAATATAAACAAGTAAGTCACGTGATAAGCGTTGCTTTTCTCAGCGCTTGTCAGAATGGACTAATCACATTTGACTCTGATTACCATCCAGTGATTAGTTGGTTCAACAAAACTTTTAATTAAATAAATGGGAACGAGTGTTCTGTATATATTGGTTATTGTATATGTAATTATAAAAGTTGTATTCGTTATTTTAAAGCATCTCAAGCGAATCATAAAACGACCTAACATAATAAAACGACGTGTTTGAGCCACTGAGCGCCACGTAGAGGATAACAGACTTCATTTCTCACAGTAAACACCATCAGCAACGCTTGCGTTTGTGTTATCTCCTCAATCACGCGGTGATCCAGAGCTTCAGATCTGTTATAGTTGCACTTTTGTCTATACTCGAAAGCCCTCGTGTTTTCTACGATAATCTGTCGACATGAATAGTTCAGGTGTTTGCGTTTTGCTATCGCTCCTGTTTCTGTCCGTATCAGCAGATCAGTGTGACAATGACAACACAGCTGACAACTGCAATAAATGGACCGAAACATCTCACAATCAGCCTCGAAATACAGGTAAAGTAGACTTTAACACCCAAATCTGGGAGAATTACAGCATAATAACCTACGAAAGGATTAAAGTGGCTGAGAAATCTTGTAAAAATCGAGCTTATAAATGTATTATTTGTAAAATACTATATAAGTTAGTTATTTATTATAAATATAGTGTTTTTGAACCATACTATAGTGAAGTGTATTAGACTATTATAGTATCTAACACGTGGTTAATGGATGTAGCATAATACACCATATAAAGTAGTATTGTAGTATAAGACACCATAGTCGCAGAAAACGTACAGTATATTATTATTATTATTATTATTATTATTATTATTATTATTATGGTATATTATTAGTTTGTATAGTGTTACCATAGCAACTTTACACAAACCACAACTAATCAATTGAACTACTTGAATTACTGATTAATTCAACTACTATGCTATATACAGGGTTCCTGCAGGGTCTTAAAATGTCTTAAATCTCAAAATCCAAATTTTAGGCCTTAAAAAGTCTTAAATTTACTAAAATACTGTGTTGTAGGTCTTAAATCTTTTTAAACAGGTCTTAATTTTCCTTTGTTTGTGTATTGCTAACCAATCTGGCCAAAACCTGTACAATCACCAACAATCCATCTCAATAAAACTTTAAACTTTTTATTTAAAAAGGCAGTTTTATTTATCATAATGGTTTAATTATTTTCGGTAACTTTATTATGATGGTCCATTTGAGTATTAGTAGACTGTCTACTTAATATCTCTTCTTGAAACTGAAATTTAACAGTCCTTCAACAGACATTTAACTGACTATAAGAAACTTTGCAAATACATGTCAGCTTATTCTAACCCTAACCCCAACCTAACAGTCTACTTATAATCTAATAAGAATTAGTTGGCACGTAGATGCAGTCTAATTGAAATTCAACAAAGTGTTACCTTATTTTCCCTACAATAACATTTGTTTAAAAGTTCTCCATGCATTTACTGCTGAGGACACCGACCTGGTCAGATTGTTGTCAATAGATTTAGTTTATTATACTTTTAAAAACATTTATTCATTGTTTTTTTATTTTTATTTTAAAGAAAGTTTATGTTGGGAAAAAAAGTGTATGAAGACAAGTAGAGCTTGGCTGTTTTTACACAATATTTAAAATATTTAGCTAAGAAATAAAATCTAAAATATGTTAATTGTTTATTATTGCATTATTAAATGTATTAAATTATAATAATATTTTAATAGGTCAAATAAAAATGTTTTCCATCTGAGCCATTTGTAAAATTGCTTTAGCTTTAAGCCCTTTACGAGTCTCAAATTTCATTTATAATGATCTATAAAATGTCTTAACTCTGTATTAAACCTTGTATGTATAATACTGTTCGTAAGCGAAAGTAATAATTTATTGTATGAAGTGACAGAATAAACATGCTCGTTTGCACGCAGGGTCATTGACTCATCATGGCTTAGTGGACTTTTAATATTGCATCATGCGATGATGAGAGGTTTAACTTGATGTTCATTAAAGCTATTTAAGTAACAAGAAGAAATGGTCACACTTTATTACAATTCCCACTACTACTACACCATTAACTATGACTTTTGCCTTAATAAACTCCTAATTTGCTGCTTAATAATAGTCAATAAGGTAGTAGTTGTGTTTATTTATTGAGTAGATTAGGGCTGAAGTATAGGATCATGCAGAATATATTCAATTAAATTCATCTTTATTTCTATAGTGCTTTTAACAGTGTAGATTGAGTCAAAGCAGCTTAACATGAAGAAAAAAGAATAAAAAGTCCTAAAAATATTTCAGAAAGTGGAACATTCCAGCAGTTCTGGTATAATTTTGGTGTAATTGTAGTTAAATTAAAACTGATTCAAATCAGTTTAGTATAAATGTCAATATTGAAGTTCAGTTTAATTCTGTTTTGTTTAGTACCATGGCAAATGTGCTTCAAAAGTACTAATAAACAGCTAATTTTTAGATAATAGATGGATGATAAGTAGTGCCAGACGGAATATGCGGACATTTTTGCTTTTTCTGCGCAGAATTGTGTTAAAAATCTGCGGATTATGCTAAATTATTTTGGGAGTATCATAACTAAAACCTTAATATATTAAATAAAAAGTAATACCTTTTTAACTTGTATTTAATGTTTACAATGCAAATCCAATTTGATCCACTTTATTTGGTAAACAAAGCAAGCTTCCCATATAATATATCTACTAAAAGACAGAAAATATTACTTTACAAACTATATTGTAAATAAATCATATGAATATTTTCATATTAGTCAATCATATTACTGTAATTAATTTAAAAACTGAATAAATATAGATTTACACAAGTAAATAAACAGAATTATTGATGGGCTAAACATCTGTGAAAATCTGCGCGCACACATTCCGTATGGGCCTAGTTATAAGCCACTATACAGTAAGAATTAGTACTTAAGCTAAAGGTTATTCATTCATTTTCTTTCCGGCCAATTTAGCTTGCACAATTCAATTATAACTAGGCCCACACGGAATCTGAGCGTGCAGAAATCCGCAGATTTTTAGCTCATCTTTGAGTCTATGGATTTACATGTGTAAATGTGTGTAAATGTATATTTATTCAGTTTTTAAATTAATTTCAGTATTATTATTGTGATATAATAATACCAATATTAAAATGTTCATGATTTATTTTCAATAGTTTTTAAAGTCATATTTTTTGTCTTTTAGTAGATCTATTAAGAGACCTGCTTTGTTTACCAAATAAGTGGATCTAATTGGATTTGTATTGTAAACATTAAATAAAAGTTCAAAATGTTTTATTCTTTATTTCATAAATTAAGTTTTTAGTTACGATACTCCCAAAACTATTTAGCATAAATCCACAGATTTTATTTTATTTTTTTTAACAAAATTCTCAGCAAAAATAGCAAAAAATGAACGCATGATTCTGTCCGGCCCTGCCTATAGAGCATGTGTTTGGACTGTGGGAGAAACCGGAGCACCCGGAGGAAACCCGCGCAAACACGGGAAGAACATGCAAACTTGACACAGAAATGCGAACTGACCCAGCCGAAGCTCGAACCAGTGACCTTCTTGCTGTGAGGCGGTTGTGCTACCCATTGTGCCACCATGACGCCCCTAAGCTAAGGTTTTACAGCATAAATTATTTGGTAAATGTTTGTAGACATTATGACATGCACATTAGATTAAAAACTACAAATTATGTTGTAAACACAGAAGCTGACAAAAAGTAAACAATGTGAGCTAAAAATTAAAAGTAAACATGATAACACTGTCGTAAGGATATTGGTAGAAATGTATGAGGTATAAATTAACATTATTAGATATTAATTATTAATTAATTTTTAATTTTCTTTTCTGCTCAGTCCCTTTATTAATCCGGGGTCGCCACAGCGGAATGAACCGCCAACTTATCCAGCATATGTTTTATGCAGCGGATGCCCTTTCAGCTGCAACCCATCTCTGGGAAACATCCTTACATACTTATACACACACACAGACACTACGGACAATTTAGCTTATTCAATTAACCTGTACGGCAAGTCTTTAGATTGTGAGGGAAACCGGAGCACCAGGAGGAAACCCACGCCAACACGGGGAGAACATGCAAACTCCACACAGAAATGCCAACTGACCCAGCCAAGGCTCGAACCAGCGACCTTCTTGCTTATAAATTAAACATAAATGTAAAAAGTACATTACATACTGTCAATTCTGAGATACAAAGTAGACATTATGCTATAGTGTTAATTATTAGAGAAGATCAGAATTGATGATGATGATGTCAAAACTTCGACATTATTCGAATGTCATTTATAAGATAAATAGTAGAAATTAATGTAGACGTAAAAAGTTATTTTAAAATAAAACAATATGGGCGACACGGTGGTTCAGTGGTTAGCACTGTCACCTCAAAGCAAGAAGGTCACTGATTCCAGTCCTGGCTGGACTGTGTGGAGTTTGCATGTTCTCCCCATGTTTGCGTGGGTTTCCTCTGTTGGCTTTGGTTTCCCCCATAGTCCAAACACATGCGCTATGTGTGGTTTATTCATAAACTAATTTCGAGAGGATCACGTGCTTATAATCAACACGGCTGGCTCCTTATTAGCTCCGTAATCAGCCCTATTAGATGATTACTGAAGCATTATAAATAACCTGAGTTTTTCACTCCAGTTATCTTCGTCTTGAAGCTCCCCCCTTTCCACCCCTTCATCCTCCTCCTTTCCTGATTGGGCGACACGGTGGCCCAGTGGCTAGCACTGTTGCCTCACAGCAAGAACACTGCCGGGCCAACCTTTCGGGCCGGTCGGTGTTTCTGTGCGGAGTTTGCATGATCTCCCCGTGTTCGTGTGGGTTTCCCCCGGGTTCCCTGGTTTCCTCCCACCGTCCAAAACATGAACCATAGCCAAATCGACTAAAACAAATTATCACCCAATACAACCTCAGTTCACACTTCTCACGATGACAAGCAGGGGAGTTTTCGAGACCTACCTGACCTCGAACTCCCCTCTCGCCCTTCTAACGGGAGGGAGCCCCGGGCTCGAGGATATTACGAGCTCAGGGCTCTCTCCCGGGACAGCATGCCAAATACGCTTTATTGATTATCAGCTAAGTGTGAACTCTTGAAAGGGGAATTAAATAAACTAAAATGGCTGTAGTGTATGTGTGTGAATGTGAGTGTGTATGAGTGTTTCCCAGAACTGGGTTGCAGCTGGAAGGGCATCCGCTGTGTAAAACATATGCTGGATAAGTTGGCGGTTCATTCCGCTGTGGCGACCCCTGATTAATAAAGTGACTAAGCCAGAGGAAAATGAGTGGGAGAGTTTAGCTGACGCGGTTAACGCAGTGAGGTCTGAACATCGCACTGTGAATTAATTAAAAAAGAAATGATCCGATGTAAAGGTGCAGGTTAAGAGGAGAACAGCGGCCACTGTCAAAGTGTGGACACAACAGCCGGGGGAACAGGAGATGCTGAACTGACACTCTTTGAGGAGAGA